AAAAAAAAAAAAAAATTATATCTATATCTATCTATCTATCTATATCTATCTATCTATATATATATATCTCTTACTGACTCCAGACTTTTGAACTTTTTGAAATTATAATAATGTATTGTGTACTTTGTGTTCTAAAAAGCAAGAAAGTCATACATCTTAGGAACAACATGAGGTTGAGATTAAATTTTTGCCTGAATCATCCATTTATTACAAAATACTATAGACCAGGGTTCCTCAAATCTTGCCCTGGAGGGCCAATGCGCTGCAGAGTTTAGCTCCAACCCTGATCAAACTCAGCTACCTGTGATTTTCTAATGATCTTGAAGACACTAATTAGTATGCTCAGGTATGTTTGATTAGGGTTAGAGCTAAACTCTGCAGGAAAGTGGATCTCGTGGGCCAGATTTGAGGATCCCTGCTATAGACTGAAAGCATGATAGGAAATTTTGGGGTTAAAAAATACTAACTAAGTTTGACTTAGTTTGAGAACTTTTGAAAACACAAACATCAGGCATGTTCTAATTTAAGACGTAAGATTCAATGTTCTTCCATGTCCCATGAATCACTTCAGCAAACCACATTCTTCCTAAAGAACTGCCAACCACAGAGACACAAAGTACAGCCATCGCGGACTGAACTGACCCCATTAGGAAAAAAGCAGACAAGAGGGAACCAAACTAGTCGAAAACTTTATGCGTCGTTTTTTCGTCGTTACATAAATTTATTACGGGTGTTACTCCATGGTGGATACAAAGAGAGCTTACCATCAAACTTTAGACAAAAGCTATAGACAGAATTACATAATTGTTCTGACAGGAAGTGCAGCTTAAGTAAACCTTCCTCAGTTTGACTTCCTCAAAACGAACACCACAAATTATATCTTTATACTTGCTACAAATTCCAAAAGACTATTTATGATTAAACAGAGACATGACAAGTAGGGATGCACCGAAATGAAAATTCTTGGCCGAAGCTGCACAAAATTAAACACTGGGCCGAAGGCCGAATACCGAACACAGTTTTTCACATTTTTCCCCATGTAGGCCTATTTTGCCCTTTTTTTTCACCATTGCATAAATTAAATAGCCAAAATATGCTTTTTACTGTTTTGTCCTGATTTTCAAATAAAAAATAAATGACAAAACAACAATTTAAAAATATATTTTAGTATTATATTATATATAAATATTAGTATTTACTTAACACTAAAAATTTGTTTTACATTCTAGCAGACATTATACCAACAAAGCACAATTTAACTTAAAATTAATAAGTTAGTAAAATAAATTTTTTGGCCATTTTTGAGACTTGAATCAGGCATGTATTTTTTACTGTACAAATAAAGGCAGCCTTGCTGAGCAGAAATTATTTTATTTTACAGAACAACAGTAAAATTACAATACTAACATTTATGAATGTTGATGGAGTTGTTGCTTTTTTATTTTGGCAGAAACCCACAGGAAGATCTCAGTGCTTCTTTTTAGCATGCAGATTTATAAATGATTCTCATTATGAATTTGGGAAGATGTTTGTCGCACGTTAGGGTTGGGCGATGTCTACAAATTTGGCATCGGACGATGTCTACAGTGATCGATGTCTACGATGACATCGGCGTGGGCAGGTGCAGAGGAGGGGTGCCTGAAGCATGAATCCTTATAAGGGAAAACATGATTCCTAACACCGTGTCTACTCCGGACGCGAGCGGTGCGAAAAAATACTATAGAACCACTGATCTATAATAGAGATTCATTATATATAGATCAGTCTATAGAACTCATTATAATCAGTGATGTTGTCTACACTTGATGCGGTGTGGCGCGACACGACAAATCCCCGACAGTAAACTGCTGTCGATTTCTGTTTATGACGTGCTGACACAAATTTCAAATGATTTTCAACGGTCGCTTTGTCACGTCCAGTGTAGACTTTAGCTGATGCGGCGCGACACGACAACTGTCGCGTCCGGTGCAGACACAGTGTAATGGTTGCCTGTAGGGTTGAAATGATTCCTTGAATACATTGCGTAACTCTAATACAAAAAATCATCGAGGCAAATGATTTGCCTCTAGGCTTCATTCAGTCCATTTACTGTAACTACACACGGAACACCGTGTTTCCCCACGGACCATTATTACCGGATAAACGCTGGACCAGACCATGGATTGTATAAAAACAGGGACCAGACTTTTTTTTTAAAAGTGCTGGACATATTTAAGACCGTTAATCAATATGGTGGCTAGTTATAATGTCCCTACGTTAGCTATGTTTTGTGAAAGACTAAACGCCATTGTGCATAAAAATACCACAGAATGAAAGTTAGTCAATATCACACGAAAATGCCAGTTTTCACCTTTAAAATCAGCATGATTACAAATGTGATTTTATTCAGCAGTTTAATAAACAAGAAGGTGATATTATGAGACTTGATACTATATTACTATATTGCCTGTTTTTTGCTTCATTTTGCCAACAAAAAAAATCCAAACACAGCAATAGCACTCTTTTGAGCAACATGACGTTTTGCGTCTCTGTGAAACATGACGGCATTTCGTTCCTGAATGAATCAACCGTTTAAATGATTCAGTTCAATCGCAATGACTCACTCAACTGCTGGCAGTTTTTTCGTTTTTAAAATAATTTTAAATATCAGTATTCAATGTTTTATGTTTAAAATAACAAAATATTATTTATGCATTTGTAACTGCAGGTTAAATGCATTCATGTTCCTCTGTGTGGGGAATTCATCCCATGCAGCTTCTGTGTTTCCTCTGCATTGCAAAGATGAATTTGATACTGATATCATTTGGTAACAGCCCAAATGTCTTTTATTCTAATTGACTGATTAAATGTAAGAATTTGACTCAAAAGATGATGCACACTTTTAGAAAAAAAGGCGTTATAAAGGTAAAAATGCCCATAAAATTTAAAAATTAATTTAAACTTATTGGAACAGATTCATTTCTATCACTGCTGTGAACTGACCAGCACACAGAATATGAAGAATATCAAAAACAAGTTTTACACACACACACACACATGTACGTATAGAGACATTTAAGAGGGTTTATTCTCCAAATAACTCTAATTTCATGAAATTGTAAAATTGTGTATGGTCTCTTGTTCTTGTTTCAAGTTACCTTCCTGTCCACTGATTTTTGCCTCTCACAAAAGCCTTCCAAGAAGACAGTAAAGGCTCATGTCATGCTTTAGCTTTAGCTAGGCTGAAACTTGAAAGTTAAGTTGCACGACATAAATGCAATGTTTAAGTATTATTATTATTTTTATTACTATTATTTTGATTTATGCCTTAGTTTTAGTTTGTACTGTTTACCTTTTTTTAAAGTAATGTGAAATTTATTTTTGTATTTTTATTTATTTATTTATTAAAATTTTTTTATTGATATATTTGTATTTGCATTTTGAATGCAATTTGGCTATTAAATGGGTTTAGTTTTCACGGTTATTAATGTATGCAATTTCAGCTATAAAAATGTTATAAAAGCAATAAAAGAAAACAAATTAGTTGTTTATTCTAAGAGATCTATCTTATTATCTCTTGTATATTTAGTATTGCTCTTTAATAAAGAAAAATGTCTTCTTATCCGATTACTCGATTAATCGACGGAATAATCGGTAGAATACTCGATTACTAAAATAATCGATAGCTACAGCCCTACAACAAATCATCATATTAGAATGATGGATCTGAAGGATCGTGTGACACTCAAGATTGGCTGCTGAAAATTCAAATAATATTTGATATAATAACATTGATATAAATAACATAAAATAATATTTGACATAAATAACATTGTATAATAGATTACATTTATTTGAAATTATAATAATATTTCACAATATTACTTTTTTATTGCATCTTATCAAATAAATGCACTCTTGGTGAGCATAAGAGGTTTCTTTCTAAAACATTTGAAGATTCTTAATTATTCATTATAGTTACATAGCCTAATCTGAAGCGTACAGAATATGTTTATTCGCTATATTATATTCTTACGCTCTCGTTACCTTTCTTTTCTAATAAATATATATATTTCTATTATTTGATTCTAACATATATTCTTTCTACCATCTAGCCAGCTTTCCTCGCTGAATATTAAAATAAAAATACTGAGGTTTCGCGGAGTGGGCGTTTGTGCGACGTTGACGTCATATCCTCCTAGCGCTCTTTGCTTCCTGTCTGGCGGAGGGAGGGGTCGGTGCTGACGGCTGGAGCCAGTGGGAGGACGAGTTGAACGTTAAGAAAGCCTTGGGAAAGCGATAAGAAACGAGGGGAAAGGGCCCGAGGTTTTTACCTTCCATCGGGAAAACTTGACTCTGATTAGCACCCGAAGCAAATGCAATGTCGTCCAGTCGTCAGCTTAGTGAGAGCAGGGCCATCCCGACCAGGACGGTGCTGATCAACGACTCAACGCAGCTACCTCACGACTATTGCACCACTCCCGGAGGCACTTTATTCTCCACCACCCCGGGAGGTAACAACCCAGACTTATATCTGCAGCCGTTTGTGTGAAGACCGTCTAATGTTAGAGGGTGGCCTGTGTTGACCAGGAAGCCGTAACCACATAAAAGGCTGTCTCAAAACCTTGTGTTCTTAAACCTGCTTAGACAGTGTTTTTAGGGGTCGTAGGAACGTTTAGTTAGCTTGCATGTAGACAGTCTGATGATGATCAAAATGTCGAGTCGTTTAAATCGACGATGACCAAAACTTGTTGACTAGGAAGGCTGCTTCCTGTGCTTTTGAGACACAGCCATGTAGTTCAAAACAAAAACAGCGCCGCCTGTGCGTCTCTCTGATTGGTCCGCAGTGGCTGATGGACAGAATAGAACAGAACAAAGGAATGCATTACATTAAACATATACAGAGAACGGCACATGTAGCAGTAAACACCCTACCAAGTGTCTTGATTGCTGTCAATCATTACTTAATTTTATTATTGTTTGTTGCGACCATTGATACTAAATTAGTCTTTGTGATTTCAAAAGCATTAAAATGTGCCATGTTAACATCCGTTGCACTTTAAGGCAGATGATTATCTTAAAAGTCAAAGTTCACTCAATTCGCATCTACTCATTCTCATATTGTTTTCAACCCAGTGTGACTTGTTTTCTTCTTTGTAACACTAAAGGAAATGTGTCAGATCTGATTGCTTCAGGATTATGACATTTTATGCAGGCTGGTAGTTATGTAATAAAACCAGCTTATAACAGAATGTTTATTATGACAATGCAGGAACCCGAATAATCTATGATCGCAAGTTTCTGTTAGACCGGCGTAACTCACCCATCGCCCAGACCCCACCAGCACACCTGCCGGTTATCCCAGGAGTGACAAGCAAGGACGTCCTGAATGAAAACAAGAGGAATAAGGCTAACAACATCAACAACCATGATGCCAAGCCTAGGCAAGGTTAGTCTTTAAAACTGACTGAACTGGAACCGTTTCCACTGGAACCTCCCTGCTTTGTGCTCAATCATCTTATGTACACAAACAGTAATGGGTCTGGTTGACAAGGGTTAGACTAGTCTTCACACGTATTATTTTCTTTTAGTGGTCATGCGTGATGGTTTTTTTGTGTGTGTGTGTGTGTGTGTGTTGCAGGTGAAGATGCTCAGTTTGAGATGGACATCTAAAGAAGAGGAACCAACGTGAAGAATGATTAATTACCTGGTACCTGTGTGCCAGTGGCTTGGCTTGTAGAAACCAATGTTGTGAGCCCTCTCCTTTAGTTCTCTCTAGCTGCTGGGTGCTGCGTAATCATGGGGATAAAAGACTAAAAGTTTGCCCAGTGGTGCTGCTGGCGCCCTGAAAGTTAACCTGGGAGCCTGTTGAGCTCTTTTTGTTTAGGTTTCAGGGCAGCCATCAGCTGTACTTGCTTAAGTCACAGAGCAAGGGAAAAATTCTGTATTGTAAGTGCCCAGATATGTTACCAATTTACCGTAATAGACTCATAAACAAATCAGCCATCAGAGATTCACTGCTGATAGATCAGAGTACACTGTTCCAGTTGATACTCTTACTGCAGTCTCCTTGGTTCACATGTAAACTGAGTTGCACTCAAGTCAGGAAATGCAGTTATCTGCATGTACATGTCCTCCCAAATGTAAGATCTTTTTTTTTTTTCTCCATCCAAAACAATTACTGGATCTCTTTTTTCTAGTTTTATTTAAAAGGGACAGTAGGATTGTCATCATACTTTTGATTAAAAGAATGAAAGGATTCCGTATTCATTCCAAGTCTTTTATATCAGTTAAAACAGTTGACTTTTTTTCTAGATTTTTATTTTCAGGTATTTGTTCAGCTCAGAAAAATAGTTGTATAGAATTGTCCAAAAACAGATCACAGACCTTAATTACTCCATTCAAGTTATATAGGATTACAATGCCAAACAAATTTTCTAGTTTTATTTAGAACTACCCCAGAATAAGCATTTCAGTCTGTAGTCTTCTCATTTCCTTTCGCCCTTTTAGCTGGTTAATTTTAAGTAATAACATCTGATTGCAATTTTGAAAGACCGAACTGTTACTTTAGGTCAGAGAGAATGTTTCTGTTTTGCTAGCAGTATGATTTGTACCTACCTTTGCATGGCGAGACAGTTGAAATGTCAACATCATCTCTTAATTCACATCGTCTAGTTAAAGGTAGACAATACCAAGTACCGTTGAACTGAACAAGTGTTTAATATACTTTATGAAACGATGACAAAAAGAGAGCTGGTCTCAGGAAGCACTTGCATTATGTACCTCACAAGTACACATCTTATGGCTCCGTTCATGGGAGAAATAGCATGGTGAATATTTAACATTAATATCAGCTGTGACATCTACTGTCACTCTCCGATTACTACAATCCTTACGAACCTTGATAATCAAATCAAAGGTAGGAAAGCACTGAAGTGTTGTTTTGGTCATTTTACTATTGTCTGTCTCACAGCCACACAATGTGAACGATCCTTTGAAAGATGGATAGTTTTGTAGTGACCAGACATTCATATTTTGATTCAGATCAAACATCTTGAAAACTTGAATTGAATCTTTCCAATGCTCTATGCATGTTCTTTTGGTCGGCTTTTTAGTCTTTAGTTCACAGATCATTTATATGTTATTGAGTTTTTTTGGGATGCCAAATCTTGTGGAAAATGAGAAGGTTTGATTAATATTGAAATAGAATTAAGCAAAGAGATTATCCAAACAAAGTGACTTAAAGAGGATAAGGCTTATTCTCATGACTTTAATTGTCTTGTTCTGTGCTCTGGTCATTCTCTGAAGCACAGAATCTCTCTCTCTCTCTCTCTCGCTCTCTCTCTCTCTCTCTCTCTCTCTCAGCAATCTCTTGTGCTTAGCCTCTGTATCCATGCCTTACTTTACTAAGCTGAGCAGCTGTGTCAAATATAGTTCCCTTTCATACCTTAAATACAGGATCAGTTCCTTTCTGTTTGATTTCTTTCCAACTTTCAAGTTGAGGATAAGATCAAGATATTGCTATGTTTTACTAGAAAACATTATATTTTTGGAAACATGTTAGTTATTATTTACTTTCTTACAGAGATGGAAATATTTGCAGATACAGCAGTGTAATATTTGTAATAGTAATGGACTGGTTAAAAAATAAACACGGTTTAGGTTCGACTTTGATCGGTTGCAGTTAACGTTCTATAAAATATTCAATATTGGTGAAATCCTTGACAATTAGATGCACATTTTTATTTTTGGTTTGATTTATAGACTTTTGTATAAGTCATATTGAAGTAATAATGATTTGTAGTAAAGGGAAGTTGATATACTGTCCTTCTGTAATAGATTGGTCAAATCCCAGCTTGTTTCAACTCTGAAGTATGGACATTTAGTTGCCTTTTTTTTTCTTTCAAAAAAATAAAAAAAAAGCATCACTGCTTACTTTTTCTTCATACTTAACCCCAGATCTCAGAAACTTTCAGAAATGCATGTAGCTCTCTGTTTGATGGGATTTAGGATGAACGTTTTATCTAATGTGACAGAAATTGGAAACTGTATTTTCTTTCTTTGAGACCCTGTTCAATTTAATTTTAATGAAATGCCAATGCCAGTGGATACTGTTACAGCAAGATCAATAAAAGTTCCTTGATATCAACTTGTCTGTTTGTCTTCTCTGCCAAATGCTTGTGCATTTCAATACAGGTGCATCTCAATAAATTAGAATGTTGTGGAAAAGTTCATTTATTTCAGTAATTCAACTCCAATTGTGAAACTCGTGTATTAAATAAATTCAATGCACACAGACTGAAGTAGTTTAAGTCTGGTTCTTTTAATTGTGATGATTGTGGCTCACATTTAACAAAAACCCACCAATTCACTATCTCAACAAATTAGAATATGGTGACATGCCAATCAGCTAATCAACTCAAAACACCTGCAAAGGTTTCCTGAGCCTTCAAAATGGTCTCTCAGTTTGGTTCACTAGGCTACACAATCATGGGGAAGACTGCTGATCTGACAGTTGTCCAGAAGACAATCACTGACCCCTTCACAAGGAGGGTAAGCCACAAACATGCATTGCCAAAGAAGCTGGCTGTTCATAGAGTGCTGGATCCAAGCAGGTTAACAGAAAGTTGAGTGGAAGGAAAAGATGCACAACCAACCGAGAGAACCGCAGCAATGCCGCGCTGTCCCTGTCATGGTTATGTTCTGTTTTGGTTCTGTTTCTGCCTCCACATTTCCCTGAGTCCCTTTGTCTATTAGTTTCCATGGTTTTTGATTAATTTGCTCATTAGTCATTATTAGTTAACTGCCTTCACCTGTTTTCCCCTCGTCAGCTGCCCTACTTAAAGTCTTCTTTCTGTTTAGTAGTTTGTTTCCTATTTCCTTGCCTGAGTTTTTGTGGATTACAATATTAAAGACTTTTTGTTGTGGATGTTTCTCATCATCTTCGCCTTCCTTTGGAGGGACTGTAACAGCTTACACTAATCTTAGAGTACTTGAAAATATTATAAACGGACTGCAAAATCATCCTGTTTTTCTGCATGAAAGTATGCCATTTAATATAGTAATTTAGAATTACTATGTTTCTCTCTCTCTCTCTCTCTCTCTCTCTCTCTGTATATATGTATATAAGTATAATTGTAGCATAATGCGTGTCACCATTTTTTTCTTAATTTAAATTGCTTGTTTTTCTATGCAGTATGATCTCTTCTCATATTTAGCAGCTTGTTTTATTGCTCATGACTTTCATTGACTTTATCTTCAAATTCTATTGGTTGATTGTCACCATTATTATGTTCTGTACACTAAGTATTAATGTCTGCACTTGCTTGGCTATTTGTAGCAAATAAAATCTTCAGATGTGTGATGTGAACAGTCTCAGTAGCACTTGTAACTAAGGAGAAGTCAATTGTAAACAATAAGGATCTTTAAAAATGTTTAACTGATTCTGTTATTCAGTAAATCGTTTTATTGCAGATTTACTAAAAAGATTTATCTAATATCTATGTTTATCAAATTAATTTTCCCTATTGTGGCATGCCACAGCAGAAAAAAAATCAAATAAATACTAAATATACATACATATACACACACACATATACAGGTGCATCTCAATAAGTTAGAATGTCGTGGAAAAGTTCATTTTTTTCAGTAATTCAACTCAAATTGTGAAACTCGTGTATTAAATAAATTCAGTGCACACAGACTGAAGTAGTTTAAGTCTTTGGTTCTTTTAATTGTGATGATTTTGGCTCACATTTAACAAAAACCCACCAATTCACTATCTCAACAAATTAGAATATGGTGACATGCCAATCAGCTAATCAACTCAAAACACCTGCAAAGGTTTCCTGAGCCTTCAAAATGGTCTCTCAGTTTGGTTCACTAGGCTACACAATCATGGGGAAGACTGCTGATCTGACAGTTGTCCAGAAGACAATCATTGACACCCTTCACAAGGAGGGTAAGCCACAAACATTCATTGCCAAAGAAGCTGGCTGTTCACAGAGTGCTGTATCCAAGCATGTTAACAGAAAGTTGAGTGGAAGGAAAAAGTGTGGAAGAAAAAGATGCACAACCAACCGAGAGAACCGCAGCCTTATGAGGATTGTCAAGCAAAATCGATTCAAGAATTTGAGTGAACTTCACAAGGAATGGACTGAGGCTGGGGTCAAGGCATCAAGAGCCACCACACACAGATGTGTCAAGGAATTTGGCTACAGTTGTCGTATTCCTCTTGTTAAGCCACTCCTGAACCACAGACAATGTCCTTACCTGGTTACCTGGGCTAAGGAGAAGAAGAACTGGACTGTTGCCCAGTGGTCCAAAGTCCTCTTTTCAGATGAGAGGTATTTCATTATTTCATTTGGAAACCAAGGTCCTAGAGTCTGGAGGAAGGGTGGAGAAGCTCATAGCCCAAGTTGCTTGAAGTCCAGTGTTAAGTTTCTGTGATGATTTGGGGTGCAATGTCATCTGCTGGTGTTGGTCCATTTTGTTTTTTGAAAACCAACGTCACTGCACCTGTTTACCAAGACATTTTGGAGCACTTCGTGCTTCCTTTTGCTGACCAGCTTTTTGAAGATGCTGATTTCATTTTTCCAGCAGGATTTGGCACCTGCCCACACTGCCAAAAGCACCAAAAGTTGGTTAAATGACCATGGTGTTGGTGTGCTTGACTGGCCAGCAAACTCACCAGACCTGAACCCCATAGAGAATCTATGGGGTATTGTCAAGAGGAAAATGAGAAACAAGAGACCAAAAAATGCAGATGAGCTGAAGGCCACTGTCAAAGAAACCTGGGCTTCCATACCACCTCAGCAGTGCCACAAACTGATCACCTCCATGCCACGCCGAATTGAGGCAGTAGTTAAAGCAAAAGGAGCCCCTACCAAGTATTGAGTACATGTACAGTAAATGAACATACTTTCCAGAAGGCCAACAATTCACTAAAAATGAATGAAATTAAGAAATTTTTTTTTTTATTGGTCTTATGGAGTATTCTAATTTGTTGAGAACCAAAGACTTAAACCACTTCAGTCTGTGTGCATTCCATTTATTTAATACACGAGTTTCACAATTTGAGTTTAATTACTGAAATAAATGAACTTTTCCACGACATTTTAATTTATTGAGATGCACCTGTATGCTTGAATGTCATGTAAACAAGCTGTTTGAAATACTAGGGTTTGCCGCTAGATGGAGCAGTAGGGTTAGTGTACCAGGCAGCTCTTAGTTTTATGAATGCAAAATCGAAAAAAGATTCTGGTCCTCTGTAAGTTAGTTTTGGCTCTGCTTTTTGTAAATGTTAAATTGTTTTATACCAAAGCGGGAGTTCCCAATGTTTCTTTTCTTGTCTCTAGCTAGAAGCCCTTATTACAGTAGATGAATGCATGTGAAGAGAGCTTGGTTGCTTGGAAACTCATGGCAACACAATGTGTCCACTTCACACCAGCGGTTCAAGCACAGGCTGTTTTCAATGCAATGAAAGACATTCGACACGTGACAGTGGTGAAAATTAAGAACTTGACCAACAGTGAGCAAAATTACTCTGCGATATGCAGCAATTTGAGGTTGAGACCTTGCGATTAACTATCACCATTACAAGAAAATCAAGTCTAACCCTGAATTTTATTAAGATCGTACTGTTTAAACTTATAAGTGTCAGCTTATTCATAGTCTGCCCCCTACATCGCAGGCTTTTCAACATTTCAGGCATGTCTGCAGCACCGTTGCTGGGAGATGGAGCTGTTACTGACTGGTGAAAAGATGAGAATCCACCCACCGACATCCTCCTCTCCCATAACATTTATTGCCAGTGAACGAGGCAGCTGAAGAAGGTGGCCATTCTCTCCTCCTCTCCTCCCCATGTGTTATCCATCTGCACTGCTGTCTGTTGAGACTCGCTTTGCTGGATTGACACCTTGACTGCATGTCTTTGGAGCTTTGAGGGACATTAATTGACAGGACTCAAGATGAGTGTGACATAGACTTGGTCTTCTTCTACTTTTAATTGTTTCTCTCAAGTCCTGACAGGTGTCTGAGAGAGCGGGTAACCAGGTGAGGAAACTTTTATGATATTTGCTATCCTATTATCTTGTCTTGGCTTCAGGGTAGAAATATGTGCTCTATTAAGTCTTCAATTATGTAATTTTGTCTTAAACAGTGCTTGGCATAGCTAAGTTTGATTCTCTTATCAGTCAGCATCCTGTGAAATGCTGGTGGGCAAGTGTACTTACTAAGTACTACACAAGAGTGGATTTACATGAACTCTCAGAACATTGTAAAACAAAATGAATAGAGAATGGGATATTGTTTTTATACAACAGTTTAATAAAGTTAAAGTAACTTGCATTTTAGATACTGTATTGCCAGTTAGTTTTTTTTTTTAACTCCGAAACGAACAACAAAATTAGTTCTAAAGAAACCACAGATTAATAGTGGAGTGTCTAAATGAATCAGTGTTTTGAACGATTTGGTTGAGTGAATGATTCAATGCATGAGTCACTCGCCACCTCCTGGCATATCAATGTAGTATGCAGAAAGAGTCACTGAAAAATATCAAAAATATTCTTTATTTCCAAGGATTCTATAGTTCATTTTGTTAATGGCCAAAGTAAGAAACAAATGAAGTAATACACTAATACAGTTACCACAGAAGCCTAAATCCATTAATAAAGAAATGAAAATTTACAATAGGTTAACATTTATTTAGTGTAATAAAATAAAAAGGTTTTATTATTATCAAAGGTTATTAGTGGTTCAGAGAAAAATCTCTATTTATTTTATTTTATTTTAGGGCCTGGTTTGACTCACCGTGCATTTTTAAAAACAGTGTTGCAGTGTGTGTATGTGTACATGGCCATTTATGATCATTGTTTCAGTATTTTCAAAGTCTGATTGTGATGTTGATTGAACAAAACACTGCAGTCATTTTTAAACTCCTCATTTCTTAGCGAGAACGAGGATGTGCCAATCACTGGTCATTCCCACTCACTGCATATCTGTACACTGATCTGTGCAGCATTGTACAAATGCATCCCAGGGCCTTTCCCATCCATATTTAGAGATTTTTGTTGTTGTTGTTTTTTGTTCTGTGACCGTGATACTCGGACTCAACTGGAATTTAAATCAAGCCCCTGAAAAGGGAAGCAT